GTGACATGTGCAAGTGCTTGAGAATACCTTGGAAATGTTTCCATGATTTTTCCTTGCTTTTCACTTTGCCCTGGGAAGAAGCTCCTGTGGTAGTTCTCACACTCTCCCTGAGATGATCTGTTCCACTGTACCAATACATGGGATGACACAATATAAGAGTCAAAGGGAAACAATCATGTCGAATTCTGATCAGATTTGCAGCTGGTTTAGGAGAAAGGTAAAAGTAGTGTTTATTTTGTCAATGAAGAATAATATTTTTCTCATGTTGTACTTTTGTTCCTGTGAACAAACAGCTGCTTGATCTGCCAGGAATTATTGAAGGTGCCAAGGACGGTAAAGGCAGAGGACGGCAGGTCATTGCAGGTGAGCTGGAGCTGGAGGCAGCAGCGTATCAGTGGTTCATTTAACAGAGCCCAGGAGAAGGAGGGGTTGAATCACTGTTTCTGCTGTCTTTAAAATCTGGATTGTTTGCTGGACTTGAGCTGCCTGCTGAGGAGCAGTAGCTGCTGTCATTGTGTTTTGTTTTCAGTTCTGGCTTTGTGCACTTGCTGAGCTCCTGCTCTGTGTTGGCACTGCAGTGGAAGTACATTTGCAATTTTGCAACAAGGCTGTTGTCTTCATTTCTTCAGCTTATTGTCCTCAGTCTGGACTCTGAATGGAGACAGGAAGGAAGATTTTTTCCAGCCTCTGTGATTCTTACAACCTGTAAGGGTCTGTCTATCAGCGATGCTTGGCCAGCACAATAAACCTAAGTCTTTTACTGGGATTTAAAAATCAGCAACGTGCTGGCCTTCAGGGGTTTCCTGTTGTCATCAGTCCACTGAGCCAGATTTGGGTTGTCTCAGGTTTGTGAGTGGGCTTTTTTGAGAGGTGACTTTCTTTCTCTGATTCATAGTTGCTCGAACCTGTAATCTCATTCTGATTGTTCTGGACGTGCTGAAACCCCTTGGCCACAAGAAAATCATTGAGAATGAACTGGAGGGATTTGGAATTCGTCTGAATAGTAAGCCCCCCAATATTGGCTTTAAAAAAAAGGATAAAGGAGGCATTAACCTTACAGCCACAGTAAGTTGAAAGTTTTCTTTAACCAAAATTAAAAAACCAAATTGCTCAAAGAAAGAGGCATTTGCAGTTGATGGCATGCCTGGGACAAGCCTGTCCCGTGCTACAGTCAGTTACTTTCCTTGGAGGCCATCTACACTTCCCCTGGAGCCTGACCACCTCCTGGTCCCCAAATCAGAGGCTCAGTCATTTTCCACACTTTAAAAGTTTGAGGTCCAAAGGAGAGTGTGCAAAAACTGCCTCTCACTTGGTGGCTACAGGATTCTCCTGGAGAAGATTACTCAGAGTTCTGAGCCTTGCAACCTGGACTTACTCCCCATTTCCCATTTCCCACTGAATCTTTAAAAGCACAGAAATGTCCAGAGGTAACAAAAATCAGAACTCTGGGCTCTAAGCCCCTAATGTGTAGCTGTCTGGGCACTAAACTGGTAGATATGTGGATTTGTGTTGCAACTGGTCCCAGATTGACAGGAAACTGCTTCTGAAATGTCTGACTGCAGCTCTCAGTGGGGCATTAATAAATGGGTGACAGCACTGTCAATTGTAATACTTGATTTGGTTGCAAACTTCCACTCTCTAATCCCGTGCCTGTCTGTGCTCAGTGCCCTCAGAGCGAGCTGGACACTGAGACAGTGAAGAGCATCTTAGCAGAGTACAAAATCCACAACGCCGACGTCACCCTGCGCAGCGACGCCACGGCCGACGACCTCATCGACGTGGTTGAAGGAAACAGGTACTGCTGGGCTCTGGCTCTGGCACAACTGCAGTTTGTGTTACAAAAAAAAAGAATTGTCTCTTGTGCTTGCTTCCCACAGAAGCTGAGCCAGCATATGCTTTTTAAGTAACTGTTTCTTCCCAGTGAAGGTGGCAGGGTGCTGCTGCCAGGCTGCTGTAACCGTGTCCTTCTCCTCGCAGGGTCTACATCCCGTGCATTTATGTCCTAAATAAAATCGACCAAATCTCCATCGAGGAACTAGATATTATTTACAAAGTACCCCACTGTGTGCCAATATCTGCTCATCATCGCTGGAACTTTGACGATCTGCTGGAGAAAATTTGGGACTACTTGAAGCTCGTACGAATGTGAGTCCCGGCTGCTGCCTTCTGTGGAGTTCAGTGTAAGGCTGAGACTCAAGGAGGTCTCAAGAACGGATGAATGGTTTTCTACAAGCTGAATGATGTTTGCTTTGTCAAGTGCAAATTGTGCTCCTCTTGTCTGCTGTCTGACAGCCACAAGTGCTGTTTTGAACTTGTAGGGTAATTAAGCAAGGATCTTGTGAAACCAAGACCAAAGCACATCTTAAAAAAACGCCTGAAAACATGGAATTCTAGTCAAACTTAGTGTAAAAGTGTGAATTCCAGAGGTAGTCATCTTTTCAGTCTGTCACGCATTCAGCTCTCTTAACAGAACTTAGTTCTTCATCTGGAATTTGAGATATTTTTATTATAGGTTATTCCAGGTTTACATCCCAATTCTAATGCATTTTGGGATGAATTTATGAATTAATCTATTCACACTCACAGTAATCGTAGCCTTTTCAGTTTACATCTACCTTCTTGTGATAATATAAAAATCTTTTGGGAAAACGGACTTAGTGTTTAGGTATCTGGGCTATGAACTTCATCAGGTGTTTTTTCACAGAAAAAAAAAATCACAAATCAGAACCATAATACTGTGGCTGTATTTTTCCATCAATTTATTCCCATTCCCCCTTTTTTTAAGCACCCCCAGAAAGCTCACTGGTGAGAAACCTTTGTGTCACAAGGGAGAACCCACTGGCCCAGCTGCATTTTCAGCTTAGGAACACCAAACCTTTCACAGCATATCCATTGTCACCACTGCAGCAGTGGAACTGGCACACCCCCTGGGCTGACAGTGCAGATAAATGACTGATGGAACGGGCGGGGAAGGGAGGTTTAGGTGTTGACTGACTGTCCCATCTGTGTCACAGCTACACCAAACCCAAGGGGCAGCTCCCAGACTACACCTCTCCTGTGGTACTACCCTACTGCAAGACCACAGTGGAGGATTTTTGCATGAAGATCCACAAAAACCTTATTAAAGACTTTAAATAGTAAGTATTATTGTAAAAGATTGATTTCTAGAGAATAGAAAACAATTTGCATCCTGGTTATATTATTTTATTCTCTTGTAAACTTAAAGGGAAAGCAGGATTAAAAAAAAAATTATAGTGTTTAATCTGCCTATGACAATTAAACTTAACACTTCAATTGCTATATTTGACATTTATATACTCTTTCCTGCATAAGTTTATGGGGAAAAATGTTTTTCTTTGTATTTGAAAGTAGTGTTAGATGCAGCATTACAGGCCACTGTCCCGTGCCCTTGGGTACTTTGGATAACTTCATACTTTGTTTTGATCTGCTTGTGCCCTGGTTCACAGACCACTCAGCCAGGTACTTGCAGGAGAATAAAAATAGCTTTGAACATTGCTTTCTGTATTAGCTTTGTGACAGAAATAGCTGCTGCTCTGCTGCCTGCATATCATACTTCTGAGCCTTGTCAATTGGATTTTTCTTCTCCTTTCAGTGCACTGGTCTGGGGTTCATCTGTTAAACACAACCCTCAAAAGGTTGGTAAGGACCACACCCTGGAAGATGAGGATGTTATTCAGATTGTGAAGAAATAAAGTTGTTCTCCCACGGTTTGTTGCTGTGCCTGAAATTTGTCTCTAACTGTAAGTGGTGAAGAAAGGACATCTCTAAGTGGAAATTGTTTTTCTATTATAGTACCTTCCTGCATGGTAAAACTGGTAATTCTGGTCAACGTGCACTGCAGGGTCTTGTTCCAGCAGAACTTAAAGATAAGAAACTCAGGTGAAATGACTTTCAGAAGGGCAAAACCTTACAAAAAGCCTTGATGCCAGGGCTGAGTTTCTGCTGCACGTACATGTCTTTCCAAATTGGAAAAAAGTTCACACATCAGGAATTATGTTGTTCTGGATTAGAACAAAACATGGAAAGCAGAGGCTGGAGAACCATATCTTAGGAAACAATGCTGGAGGACAGAGAGTTCCAGCTGCCTTAATCTGAAAGTGTTCTTGTTTGAATACTTCAGGGCTAATAATAGTCCTGCAGTCAGGGAAAGCTGGTTGGCTCTGCTCAGGAGCAATTGCTTTTTCAGTTGTTTAGACTAGTGGAAGCTGTTTGTGTCTTTTAGATTTTCTGAAAAAAATTTCCTGCCTAGTTTGGAGAAGTCAATAAGGTGCCCAGAAAGAGCAGACTGCTCTTAAAGGGTAGTTCTGTTGCTGAGCAGAGATGAATAAAGCAGCTTTTAGCTCTTGTCAGGAGGGCCATCAAATGCATCAGCCTCTAGCACTCGCTCTCCTACCAGCAAGGAGGGGGGTTAGTTATGGGGTGTTTACTAAAATGCATCAAAGATGCTTCCCCCCACGTTATTACACATCCAGAGAGAAATAAAAGTGACTTTGGACACCCACTCAAGCACTAAATCCTTACAAGAGTGGGTGCTACTCAGCCTGCCTGCTTGGGAAACATCCAAGCCTGATTCTGCTCCCAGCATTTGCACCAGGAACTGTTTGTAGACTCCTGTGTAAGTGAGAAGTGCTGCAGGTGTGCTGGGGTTATCACCTTCAGGGGAGGAGAAGAGGAGGCTGCTGCTCAGATTGTGCAGAAATAACAGTGAACCCCATTCCCCCTCTGTGTAGGATTGGTTGTTTTACAAGTTCTTCCTCACTCCTCACACTTAACCCAGACATTTCAATGCAGCACTTCCACTGGGTATCCTGTGAGACCAGTTACCTTCATCAAAGCAGATTGTTCCTCCTCAGACCTGGACTGACTGAAACTTTCTGCAGATGAGCTCAAACCCTGGTTCCAGCTTACACACAAGAACAACGCTTAAAAGTTAATCAATATACTGACATAATTTAGTACAAGAGCAGTTGCTACAGACAGCTGGTAGAATCAACTTTATTTACAGAATGTTACTGGGAAAGTGTCAAGTTAAAAAAGTATGAAAACAGTCTTACAAGGACAAGCTGGTGATTGCATGTTTTACAGGGATTGCTTTGGGAACAACCATTAGAAGTATGGGTGACCCCCAACAGCTTCCACCTTGGAGATTTTTCAGCTTGCTATTTCCATAAACTCTGTCTCTGCTGGACTGAAACAAACCCACCACAGCACTCTGCCAAGGGGTAGGATACAGACAAGTGATTTTTTTTTTTTCCCTGCTGCTGGTTTTGCTTTCAGTGAGACCTAAGAAAGAGCAAGTCTGTGAGAATTCTGGTTTTGCTTCCACCTCTTTTAAAAAAAAAGAGCCCAATGGCCTAAGCTAGAGAGAGGACATGACAGCAGCACACGACTCAACACAAGTGAGGGAGTGAAGTGAGGAACCATGCAGAAGGATGGAGGAGAACATTTAACTGTTCAGGAAAGTGAAACAGGCTTAAAAGGAACATAGTACTTTAAAAACCAAATATACACAGTAAGATCACAAAACTACCCCATCCTCCCCCTTTCAAGCCACAGAACAAGACTCCAAAGGCAAGTTTCACAGTAATGGCATCGCTGGATGCTCACGGGACTGAGGACAGTGCTTGGGACTCCCTTCCAGAAACAGCACTGAAGGCAGCACAGGATATTCCACAGCCATGACTGAGGAGTTGAAGGGTGAGGATTCAAAGGCTCCATTTTGATGACCTTTAGTAACTGGCTTGAAAGATTAAAACGAGGAAAATACTGCAGCTAAACAAGGACCAGCACCAGCCCTCCCGAGAGAGCGACGACCAGTAGGTACCTCCAGACTGAAGATCTGGCTTTATCATGACTGCACCAGGCCCCATCCTCAAGGCTGTTCAAAGACTAAATAAACCTCTCATTTGGTGGCAAGAGTCACACACAGGGAATCAGACCTTCGTTACACAGACGGCAAGATGTGGGCTTTTACCCTGACACTTGAGCTACACTGAGTGCACAGTACGTGACAAAGATGTGAGAGGGAGACCTAGAGGAGATGAGCAGCAAGGAAAGGCAAAGCAACTTCATCCTGTTCACTCACACTTAGGATATGCAACTTTAATCTTAAAGAAAGTCCCACACGTACAATGGAGAAAGGTCCAAACCATAGGCACAACTAAAGCTCAACTGTTACCAGCTACTCTTATGTACAGCTGTATAGATTCAAAAAGGCTATTCTAGGTGTGTATGTACAAAAGATTGTTTATACACAAGTCTGTACAGAAGGGTCTATACATGTAGTTCTCTGCAGAAGGAATCTATAGCTGCTACCTCTACACTAGAGAATATCAGCACTTCATTCACATATCTTACAAAAACAAACAAACAAAAAAAAAATAGACACTTCCAGGATTAAACTGGCTTTGTCTTGCATCTAAATTTCTTCAGGCTTCACTATCCAAGCCATAATGGATCCTTTAGTCTTGATGCAGACATGAGACCAGGACAGGTGCCATGTGCTTTAGTCTCTCGAAAAGAAATTTTGCACAGAGTACTAAAAATAAAAGCCCCAAAAAAACAAACAAGAGGTGAAGTCCTGACTATGGACATTTTCATCCAGTCTAAAGAATCACAAGTGTTCCACCCAGTGGTCACTGTTCACTGCCGGTATTCCAGTTCATCTACACTGATGACTTTGGATGGCATGGAAGGGAGAGGCTGCTGCAAGACATCTGAACCAAACCATTTTGCAAGGCCAATGGGAGAGCCACTCCTCTGGCTGGGGCGATGGTCGAGCTGTGTGTGCCCGTGAGATAATCCAGTCCGAGGCAGCACGTTTGGAGGGGTTGTTTGTGCACCAGCAGGTGATCCCTGTGCTCCAGAGCCTGCGAAATGTAAAGCTATTAGAGGTGAAGTAACACCCAGATCTGCCCTCCAGCTATCACCTGGTAAGGCACTTGAGCTGAGTGTGGCTTTTACTCGTCCTATGAGCCCTGGGAAATCTGGGCACCGTGTGTTTATTCCCATTAGTGCTCCCATAAATGGCCTGACACTGCCACTTCTGGACACACAGGTTTGAGCTGGAAGACCAGGATCAAATGGCATTTCCCCGGAGATGGCGGGTGGCCTCTGTCCCAGCAGGGCTGAAAGCTGCACACACGCTGCAAGAGGCAGAGCTGTCAGTGGCAACACGTTCTGAAAGCAAGCGCTTCGCTCCGGCTTCCTGCTGGCACAGCCTGCAGTGGCCAGAGCTGCCTCCCACCCACAAGGGTAGTGATTAGGAACAACTAAATCAGAGCAGCTTCCTGCCAGCACAGAGCACTCCAAGAGCCCAGCCAGCACAGGACCTGAGAGGCTCCCAGCGTCCTCCAGCTCCCACTGCTGGCTGTGCTGTGACCCACCTGATCGCTGCAGCTGCTGCTGCATCATCGCCAGCTGCAGAGGAGTCCCCGAGCGCGGGTTCAGGAGGTGATGGCTTGCTGTTGGCAGCGGGTAAAAAGGCTGGCCAAGGATGGGAGCAGATATTCCCTGCAAGTGAGACAGGTCCACTCCAGGAGGAAGCATACCTGTTGGATGTGAGCAAGAAAACTTCTTAGCTGATAAGCACAAGGGACTTAAAGCAAAACAAAACATATTTATAAATATTCAGATGGGTTGGACTTTGTTGTCCGGTTTTACAGGTAAGTTCTCATGTAAGAAACATTACTGGTAATATCAGTTCGTGCTGTTCCTAACACAAGGTCAGTCTTAAAGAGAACATGCATTAACTTAAGGGGGAAAAACAAAAGTCTGGATTACCTGCTTGCAGCAGAGGAAGGTGCTGCGGGTGGACCCCCTGTGCCAGCATTCTCTGGACCAGTCCTGGGTGCAGTTGGTGAGCAGGTCGTACAAGTGGTACATGGGGAACAAGGGGTACTTGATGAACAGGACGAAGGAAAGGGCCTCCTGGTACTGGGGAGGCCATTGTAGGAGTCTTCCTACCAGCTGATTTGGGCCTGTAGTCTTGCTCTTTGGTGCAACGATTTGCTTGGGTAAGAGGTGTGGAACATGCAGAGCGTTGCAGTGCAGGTAGTTTGGTACCTAAGGTGGGCAAAGTTCCTTGATCTGCATTCTCCACAGAACTAGACAGTAGGTTATCTGTAGCTAGAATTGAATACAACTATTACAGTCCACAGCTAGAGATTGCACCTAATGAAAATTAAAGCTAATGACTGGATTTGATAGTTAAGATTCCAGATCTAGCTGAACTGCAGTCATATGTATTTAATAGTGAGCATCTCGTTTCTGGATGCTTAAATTAGACCAGAATCAGCACTAACTCCATCTTTAATTATTATTTTCCTTTTTTTTTTTTTTTTTTTTTTTTTAGGAATTTGGAGCCAGCAGCACAGATGAGTCAGTGCCAAAGGTGACAGGAGGCACAAGGTATCCTCCCTAGACAAGATTATAATTTGGAGTTGCTCCAGAAATCCAGCCCAAAGTGGCTTTTCAGTTTAGATGTGTCTGGGCATGAGCAGCAGCCTTCTATGTCGGCCACCTGCTTAGCAAGATTTGGAACACTAAAGCACCTCAAGAAGCTACTTCCATAGACCATCCAGATCACTTAGACAAGGCCTAAAATACCTTGGCATCAAGTGCTACCAGTGGAGGTGCTCCAGCTGGACTGTAACAGAACTGCAAGGTACCTCTGTATTACCAGCACTGAGGTACAACTCAGCAGCCAGCCTGACTGAGTCAGGACACTGGTGTTGAGCATTTCCCTTTAACAGCCTCTTACATCAGTTTGGGTAACAAAATGCTCCCCTGATCTGCTGCACTTAAGAGCTTAATTGGTCTCAGCTTTGACTGCTCAGTTAGGAAGTCTCAAGAGAACTCTAAGTTCTCAATTACTGGTGTAGACTAGGGAATCATAACTGTTATTATGCTTGGTCATCAACAAAAGGTGCCAACGAACAGTTATGGTCTCAGTGCCACTGTTGCCCACAAAGTGACAAACCCAACACTGCTGGCAGACTGCACTTGCAAGGGTGTCCCCTCTATAGCTCTAGGCCCTCCTCCCATTACAGCCTCACTCACTTCTACCCCCTCATCTCCTGAATCAGGAATGTCTAAAGGTAGCCTGGGTGTATTACGTGCTGAAGCAATTTGACTCTATTCCAAATCCCTTTTGCTTGTGGTATTTTAAAGCCATTACAATACCTTCATTTGGTCTCTGATTTTCATCTTTCACATCACTGATTTTCATTTTCCCAGAAGCTGGCTCCTCTTTGCTCTTCTCCTTGCTCTCGTACATCTTGCGGATCACCGAGGTAGGTGTGAAGGAAGGAGACAGCTGCAGAGAGCACAGGCACATGCAGTGCTTTACCCACTGCTCAGCATCCAGGCCACACCATCTCACTGGTGGGTGGACACCAATTCTAGCACATCCTGTCCATTTAGAGCTCTTTTCAATCAGCCCCTGTGTGCCCACGATTTTAGTTCACCTCATTTCCCAGCTTTATTCTCTAGTTTAAGCACTTCTCTTTAGCTTTTGCACGAGTCCAACACCAAACCCCGCAGCTGTTCTCAAAGTCAAATGTACTTTAACAGGCTCGAAACAAAATAGCTGAGCTGTATTTAAAGTTACAGCTGTTTCCTCTTTGCCATTGGTGCAAAACATCAGCTCCAGGGGAGTTCCTACAGAGCTGTTTTATCTGTGTTAACTCAGGGCTGACTGAGCTGAGAGAACTATTGCCTCATTCCTGATTCCCCCCCATTCAAAGTCCCACAGCACCTGTGGAAGTCACTCATCTGGAATACAAACAGAAGTACTTGTTTGATTTTGATAGGCTGTGTCAGTCCTGAGCTGCAAGTGCTTGACTGATTCACTGGGAGAATTTAGACCAAAGAACATTCAACACAGGACTGAAGGCAGGGAGGCAGCAGCTTGGCTTTGAGGTTCTACTCATTTTCAGAGTGACTCTGAAGCTCCCAGGTATTATTTCAACCTACACTTAGGTCAGACACTTCATTCCCAAGGACCACTGTTCTCTGAGGCAGCTGATGGCTTTCAGCACTTGTCTTCTGAAGACTTAAGCACCAGCATACAAGGGGCTGAGTGTTCATAACCACCTTCATTTGGTTTCAGAAGACCAGGTCAAGGTAACATTAACAGTTTTAGCTACCACAGTGGCCAGAAAGGCCGATTCCCAAGGAGCAGACATTCAGTTAAGCACAAAGTGTAACTCATTCTTGTATGGGTGGCCACTGAACATAGGTTCTTGTATGGGTGGCCACCACACAACACGAATCTGAGTGACTCCTCTATGGCCTCCCTGTCTCCCACTGATTGCCAGTGCTAGGATGCAGTTCCTGCAGACACCTCCACAACTTTCCCTCCAACCCAGTCCACCAGGCACTGACCATGCTCGTGATGGAGGCTGCAGGGGCTGGAGAAGCTGCGTTCCCTCTGTGTCCTGGGGCGGGGGATTTCGTCACTCGCTGCTGCCTGTGAAGGGACAGGATCAGTAACAGAGGCTCAGCTCTGCTCTTGGCACAGAACGAGAGGCAGCACTGCCAAGAACTAACACAAGCCTGACCGCTGCCAATATCTACTGAAAGGCAATATTCACACAAACAATCAATTAACAGTGTCCCCCTGAAATTTTGCAGTCAGATGCTCACCTGTTCCTGTAGCCATCTCTGCTTTTGTCCATTTGTGGTTTACCAAAGCCATGCTGATAGAAGTTTGCTGCCTGTAGGGCCAAGTCATGTGGGAGTGCAAGTCCCTCTAATGCAGCTTGCTGTATGTCCAAGGGACTCATCTGAAGCAGAAATGCATAAAAAACAACTCAAAGCCTGGATTTGGTTGTGTTTTATTTAAGATACTGAAGACTGACTGCTATAGCTACTAATGGCAGACACTTTGTGAAGACAACAGCCTCTATTTTACTGACAGGCAATAGAAGCTTCAAAAAAAATTGTGTACTTGAGGTACTCTAAGATGGGTCAAATTGCAATGAGGTTTTGAGCCTGTACTAAATCAGACTTTGCATCCTCACCCTCAGAGCAAACTTCAGCACAAACATCTGAATGGAACAGCTGAGTGTTTCAAAGGTTAGTTCTAGACCAGACACCATAAAAAAAGATGAATATACATTAAGCAAAAAGCATCTGACCTGTGCAGCAACTGGGCTCATGGGCTTCCTGACACCTGGGAATGGATCACCAAGCAATTGCTGAGAACCTTGTCCAAAACCTAAAGAACATTTTAACAGATGAATTTAAAAGAACTAACAGTTCCTTCCAATACATATCCTGAGGCAAAACAATTCTACATGAATTAAGGATTCCCCGTGAAGATTCTCAGCTCACCCCTTAAATCCACACAGAGCTTTATCTCTTCCTTGTCACTGGGCTGGAGAGCTACAAAGGAGGCCACTGATGGTGTTTTGCAATACAAATGGCCAAACAGTCCTTGAAAATAGGACTCTTCCCCAGCAGCTGGGCACGTCATCCCACAGCAGAACTCGCTGGGAGCTCTGGCTCAACAATTCAGCATCAGAGACACTGACCTTGCTGCCCACCAAGAGCCAGGAAGCTTTTACAGTTCTGTAAAACCTTCCTCAAACCCAAGCCCAGCACCAGGAAGCCCTGTGCAGGCACTCACCGAGGGGGGACGATATCCTGTGGCGCAGGTAATCCGCAGAGGCGGCTCGCGCTGGGAACACGGTGGGGATGGGGGGGGAAGGGGCTCTCTGTGTCAGCAGAGAGGCTGCAGGTTCCAAACCACCCATCAGGCCACTCAAGACGTTTGATGAAGCAGGTCTGGCAATGGGTGGGCCAAGAAGTTCCTAAGAGTAAATAATAAAGAGTGTTGAGATACGAGCAATTTGCACAAACAAGTCATTTACCACACTGCAGGCCGCCCCACTTACAGCAAGTTAGAGACAAGGGGGACTTGTGCAACTGCTGCACCAGTTCTGGTTTGCCCAGAATTAGGCACTTCACAGGCTCTTCATTTCCAAGTTGTGATTATAGGAAATAGCAGGACAAGACACATTTCTAACTAAACTGCACTAGTGACTAGTTCTCTCTTCTCTACAGAATCATTTCTCACTGCTGACCCCATAATTCTCATAAAAAATGTCTTCTTGTCAAATAACACTTGTTTTCCCATTGGGGATATGCTTTTAAGTACTTCCCTCCCCCCAGTAAAATACCTGCAGAATATTCTTTGATAGAGGCTGGCCTGACATCTCTGGAGGTGACATTAAGTGGCTTTCAAGGCTCTGCTAAGAAAGTGAAAACACTGTCAATTAGACATAGATACAACCAAACTCTTTAAGAGACTATCCATGTTTGTCTCAGTGACAGAAATATTTCACCTGTTCTGTTAGAACAGTAGTTTATGGATGAGCCAAATAAAATTCCATCACAGTGAAGGGCTGAGCTGACTCTCAGATCTTCCCTAGCTAAGAAAAATGCCTTGTGCTGGACTGTATCCAGGGAGTTCACTGTGCCTCCTTCGAGTTTGGGTCAAATACATGAATTAATATAATTGTGTAAACTGGAGACGGAACATTCAGCCAGTGGTTAACTGAAAACATGCACAAACTGAAAAGTGTTTGTATATTAGAGAAATTATTTCAGATATTCTTCTGTGCACCCAAATAGGACATCAATGCAAAGAGACAGCCAGAAACCAAAGTCTTGATTTAAGTCTGAAATCAATCTGCAAATTCTTTACAGGGCAAATTTACATTTTTCACTATCTTTTAGTGAAGTGAGCTGAGTCTAGAAGTCCTTGGGTACAGTCTGGCAGGAAAAACAAATGTTTGAGACTTCCTCAGTTGTTAGAAGTATGTTTTGGTGCCAGAAGTGGTTGCTGATAGCTTCTGGGGAAACACAGTTTTGGCAGTTAGCGGCAGGATGAAATTTCATCCTACAATCTCCTAGCCTAAACCTTAGTATCATCTGTTGTTTAACATTAATCTTCCAGCTAACAAGCATTTGCTTCAGTTTTATCTTACTCCAAATAATGTTCAGAGCCAAGTTTAAAATACTAGACTGTGCACTGACATACCTGCATTAAAACAGAAGTCACTAAAAATGTCTGAGCTCCAGGTTAAGTGTTGGCTGTACCCACACCACAAGCATTTTAAGAGAGATAGCAATTATTAGACTTCTCATAAAGTTTTGGAACGCTGGGGCTTTCAGAAACTTCACCTGAAATCAGTCCTGTGATCTGAAGTGGAAACCCCTCACTCTGAATTACTTTGGCTGGGGAAAAGGGACCAAAGCATCTCTCAGTTTCCCCTCAGATCAACGTTCTAAATGCAAGCCTGTATTTAACATCACACTGCCCGTGGGTCACAGGTTACCCCAGGGGCTGTGTAAGGGGTTCCCTGCTCATAACCCACGAGTCAATGCCCAGGGCTCTGCTACTCACATTGACTTTGGGCTGGGAGGGCAGGGTCCCGCTGGCCTTCATGCTGCTCACTAGTTTGTTAAACGCCGTCATATCTCCGTCCTTCTTCATCTGTCTGGAGCCAGTGGCATTCAGTGCTTCCTCCATCTGCTCAGCCATAAAGGGAGTGGCAATTTTCCCCTCCTGATCCACTTTCAGGCCTTTTAGCCCAGCTTCAACTTCTTCCACTGAAAGTACGACTCCTGAATGTGCTGTGAAACACAGAAGAAATACTGGTAAACCACCATTCTGTTCTCAGGTGAGCTCGTAATTCGTGTGCAGGTGTTTCATACAAAGTTGTTTGAAAACAAGGAATATACAAAACCTTGTTTTCTGATCCTGTTCCTAGCTGTCAAACCATGACTGACCCGTGTTTAGACTGATTCTAATATCCAAATTCAGAGACCTGACATGCACAGCTACTGGCACGTGAGACTCCACAAGAGCCAGTTTAGGTTTCAGCTGCCAAGTTTTCCCTACCTTCCATTTACCCTACAAGACATGCAGTTCACAACTTTGCCTGCATAACAGAGAATACTGGTGTGACAACTGAGCTGGTTCTTTTCCAGTTCTTTCGGGAAAGCTGCATTTCCTCCAGGAGACCAGATGGCCTTCCAGTCACAGTGCAAGCCATGTCAAATTATCTGAAGCCATCACGAGTAGAAGGAATACATACCTGGAAACCCAGATACTGTGGAGACTCAGCTACACACTTAACCTGATGTGTATAAAGTCTGAAGCAGATTTTTTGCTCAGAAATTAAAGCCTCTACAGAAAGATTCCACTGGCTTAAGCAGAATAAGGTACAAACGTTATTAGCAGTATTTTTTCCTGTGTGTGCAAATATACACATATAAACACCTAGTGGTGCCCAACATCAGGGCTAAACATGCCTGTGGACCAGCTAACACACATCACAAGGTATGACACCTTCAGAGGAAGGAAGAGAGACAGGAGCATGCCATGGGTTGCTGGAGCAGGATGTCAGCCCAGAGAAAAAGAGACTTACTGGAAATTCGGGCAAGAAGGTGGAGAAAAGAAAACAATGATGCAGACATGCAGCATGGAACACGAGCAAATGTGATGCTGGTGGACCTGAGAGCTCCACATCACTCCAAGAACTGCACAGCGTTTTATGGGAACACAGAACCTGCACCAGGTACTTTTGAGTGAATGGAAGCTTCCCCACAAACTTTTGTTCCTTCGTCCTTGGTTTGTGAGGATCAAAGTTGAACAAGCTTTTAGTAGGAAAGTCAGATTAAGCAGAACACAGAGAAGACTTGTAGCTCTATTTAAGATAAATTAAGAAAGTTCTCCACATGTTAGCCAACGCTCCCTGCTGGATGCTTAAGAACATTTGCAGTACTTGGATGCTTTCCTTCCTTGCTGCTTCACACAAATCAGAGCACTTTTTGTTCAGCCCATTTACATGGCAATACATGCTGCTTGCCAAAGAGAAGCCAATTCGGGATTAGACCTCGAGATTTCCAAGAACACGTGCATTTTGTACCCTCTGTGCATGCTGTGGGCCCAGACGTGCAAATCCCTAACCTGGAGGTGCCCTTGAACATTAAAGTCAGGCCTGAGCTCTGTTTAGAACAGCTGATGCTGGCAAAAGTGAACTCCAACAGTTTTAGTTCCCTGGAACCCTGTGATTCCAGCCAACATTTCTCTTGTTATGCTGCGTTGTAGCTTTATGTTATTTAATTAATGCCCCAAACAGTGAGTACAGACCACTGTGCTTCGAGTGGCAGCAAGTGTCTTGGCAAGTTCAAGTTTACAGTATGCACTTAAAAATAAATAAATCACACCCTCAAACCACTGTTCAACTTCCTAGACACTGAATGGGATTACAGATGCTTCCAAGGATGACTTACACTGCCAGTTTTTGGTACAGCCAGAGTTTAAATGCCACAGGTTCAGAGCTGACATTACCAGCCTCCAGCATGAAAAACTTATGCAAATGCCATACACAAAGCTGGAAACTCAGATCAAGGCTTGCATCATCTTATGGTTGCTACCAGCCAGTAAAGCAGTCTGATAGTCCTGGTGTCATCCTGGGATAGGATGAAAAGAATCAGGGATGGTATGGACACAGAGCTGGTGAGCAGTGGGTTTCAGTAAATCTATGATCCTGCCTACTCCTGGCTTTGGCAGGGGAGGTTTGCAGAACACCAAGCCTCTTGCTGTGAGACACTGCAGCACAAGAACTCGACAATAGCTGAAGAGGCACTTACTGCTCTCTCTAAGCTTTTCCTTGTTGGCTGAAAGACTTGAGAGAAGAGGTTTTAAGTCCACTTTGGCTTTCTGTAGCATTTCTAGGATGTCCACTTTGTTTTCAGAGTGGTCTTCCAATGGAATGGGAGCAAAGTAGTTTCCAGAGTTCTGGCCAGGGGAGAGAATGGCTTGCTCTAGACCTGAAACAGCAAAACCAGGAGCACTGCGACATCAGTTCACCAACCCAAGGGCTCAAGATGAACATACACCGGTAACCAACCTCAACACGGCACTGACAACTTATGGCTCACACCCCTTGCCTGCAAAGCCATCAGGAAGCATCGACAAGGCCATTTATAAAAAGAGAACTTACAGCTGCTCACTGTCAGAGCTTCCAAAAGAATGTCAAGTGCTTAAACTGCGGGAGAATTCAGCGTCCTGAAGCTTTACCTGCCATGTTCTTACTGAATGAGTAAGGAAGAAGGTGGAAGGAGGTTCCCTGAGCCTGCCCTGCCCCAGAGCCTTACCTGCCAGCCTCTCCAGCTCCTCGTGGGGGGTGGATCTCAAGCTGCTTGATCGACTTCCAGAATGACTGGGATTAGAAAACCACCTGCTGAACCTGCTGGCAGACACTGAACCTTCCCCCAGCACATCCTCTATCATCTGGTTACGGGAGGAAAAACAAAGAGAAAAATCTTAACGGCAGCAAGATCAGCAACAGCTCTGAAAAGCTTTACTATGCAACCAAGATTCTTCTGCTACAGACAACGAGATGCTGCTCCCAGAGTTTCAAGGCTTTGAACTGCCTTTTTTTTCCTTCCAAAATGGCAGCATTTGTATAGCCAGTTAAAATAACCCAGCGGACATCTCTTATTGACACCAAATATTTGCTCAGAGTAAAACTGTAACTCAAACTGCACAATCAGAGCCTTCCCCAAAGGCCATTAAATACACCATTCTAAAGTGGAAATGTAAAAAAAGCCCAACAAACAGTATTAAAAAATGGTGCATTACAAAACGGAATTCAAACTAAATGTTTTTCTATCTTGCAAGGTTAAAGCAGTTAAAGCCTGGTCAACAGGCACGGATGAGTTTCAACATGCAGCATGTTTGCTTTCAGACACAAGAAGAGCAGCTTCCTCCTGTCAGAGGAGTTGTTTTGTCTGAAACAAGTGTCCCAGCACGGTTCACAACAGCAAAAACAAGACAGTATTGATCCCCTTGGATTGTTTGACTCCAACACATTAGAATAATTAAGACAAGTAATGTACAAACCTACAGCAACACTTGCCACAGACATATCACCATTACAAAGAAACTCACTTTTTTGACAAATTATAACATCTGCCCATCTGTCTCATCAGCAGATGTTTTGACTTGGGAATTCCCTGCTTTTGAAAGGAGTCACCATCTTGCAGGTATGCTGAAAATCAGATTGTCAAGTCTAAAGACACATCATTTACATCTTCTACAGGGAGAACAAACTCTTCTCCATGTGCTTGTCCAATTATTGCCCCAGGTCTGAGTGTTCACCTGGGGTCTCCAGGCTCACTGCCTTCCAGGAAACCTCCCCAGATCTGTTTGCTGCAATTCCCAGACTTACATGGAAAAAGTTGTTCTCAGTTATACTAAATTTGGACAGTGAATCTTCTCTGAAGATATCTTAAACACTTCCAAAGAAGATTCACTCAGGATGACAATTTTGAGTATTCAAGTAGTGATCAAAAGAGAGGAAAGATAGTCAGCTAATTTGCCTCACACCCTTTCTTTGGAGATGGATCCAGTCCCAGGGATAACACTTTGGCAGTGACATCCTAACACTCCAAAGCTACATCTCTGCAAATTCATCGTAGACTTACACGCTGCACAAACAACTCTCACAAAGCAACAAGTTTTAGCTTTCACAGAATGCAGCAGCAAAAATTGCTTCTCATGAATACAGCCAGTCTTAAAAACCAGAAAACTCACTGAAGCCAGGCCAGGAACACTTTTATCCAAGTTAAAGAACTCATTGAAGTCAAACTCTCCTGGAGCTGGTTCTTGTAAAGCAGCTTCTCTAGGAACTTCTTGATCTGCTGGAGTTTCATTGGCAAGGACAGTTTGCACTTCATCTTCTTCTACCACTCCACCATTGCATTCTATCCCTTAAAAAGAAAACCAAGTGGCTGCTGAATCACTGGACTCAATAATTCCTGTGGGAACAGTGCCTAACAGCCAACGCATCTGCCCAGGGATCAGAAGCATGGGCCCAAAGTACCCCACCCCACGTGGTATCTCATCAGTTGTGCTGGCTGCCTTCTCCTGCACCCACAGCCCCTAGCACAGAGCTCCCAGGCTGCTATGTAGACCATCCAGCTCAAGAAAACAAGAATTGCCTTTGAACTGTGCATTAACAACTGCCCCCTGCTCACACACACACATCAGATGTGCTGCCACACCAAGCACACACAGCTGTGAAGGCAACAGCTGCTGCTGCTTTTCCATCAAGAATCCTTTGGAAGCTCTTCCTGCCTTCCTGACTCAGGTTCTTAGTGTTGGCAGCACATGACAAATATTGCTCCTCCTCCATCAGGAGCAAGGCCCTTCTTGCTTTAAAGACTTCTCAACAAGCTGGAACAGGTTCTGCAAAAAAGCTGTGACGTGATTACAAACCTCCTGTGCTTGGAACTGCACTGAGCCCAGTGACAGCCCAGGTGCAGCTGTGCATTCACTCCTGTTGGCCACCTGCAGGATTTCTAGCACTAAGAAGTGATCCTCTCTCCTGCCAACTGCAGCTTTTCCAGCAGTAATAATCACTGTAGACTTGAAGTCCAATGAATGCACACAAATTCAAGTCTCCATATTCAGTTCACAGCCTCATTCCTGGCAGCTCTACATGCCCAAATGTGTGTTGCTAATGTAAGTATTACTATAAGGAAGAAAAATGTTTCAAGTACCTCAGAGCATTAGCTCAATTTAAACCAAGGCTTTAACACCCAGCAAGATTTAGAAGAGAACAAGACCTTTCTAATAGCCTATTAACTCCTGATATCATTCAACAGCCATACAAGGTTTTTTCCCAGCCTCTCAACCCTGCCTTTCTTCAGAAAAAAAATAGTATTTTACCATCAAATTGATCTTTCAGACGGTAAATACCTTTTACAGGACTTACATCTTGTGCTCCAGGGTGACCAAAAGCTATGCAAGTTTAAGATAAAATGCTGGTAAACTGCATTTTCTTTACACTTGCCTGGCTGTGCGACAACCCCCTCTCTATCTGGGAAGGTGCCCCAGGGGCACACAAAGCCCCGGTGAGTGCCCATTACCTTCCTTCAGGGAGGCCGTGCGTCGCCTCGTGCGTTTCCTCCCCTTGTGATCTTCCTCCAAAATTTTATCATCGAAGCCTGTGAGCTCAATGGTTTCAGACTGACTGGTAGGACCGGCAGAGAACCACTCAGGCTCCTCTTCAGTGTACGAGTCGTTCCTCCTTCGCTCCCCGAAGACGCGTTTGCTGTCACCAAACTCCCTCTGAAGTGGGATAATAAAAGTATTACCCATAAAACGCTGCTTCAGAAGATTCCTCCCTGACTTCCAAAGCAAATGACCACTTTTGTTTGTTTGGTTTGTTTTCCCCAAGGTTTATACAAGCACCCTGTATGCTCGGTAACCTCTAAAATCTTAAACTTCATGGCCAAATTTCTGCTTCGTTGCACCAAAGGCTATTGCTCCACAAGTGCCTCTCTAAACTCAGTTTTGCATCCTAAGATGCAGGTTAGTGGTTCATTCTTCTTAAAAGCAAAAAATATTCAAAAAAGGCCTGAAAGCACAGAAAGCTTCCATTTGCTGAGGTTAAAAACAATACTCACTGACAACTGCTAGGTTAAGAACTACAAATGAACTATTAGACTTTTAAGTGTTGTGCAGGTAAGTCAACCACAGGCAAGATAAACAGTATTAGACACATCCCAGTTGGGCTGTCTGAAGGGATGTAACTAAGTTTTGGAAGCATCAAGTGCTGTCTCTTTACACCACAAAGGTGATTTTAAGAAGAAGTGGCCTCCTGCCCCAGGACACTGAACCGCTGCGTGCACTCATCTGCCCCTGGTGCTCTGAGTGCCAAGCACCCCAAAGCTCAGATTTACCGTGCGAACAGGAAGGGAAAGCACAAACCCTGAAGCGTTTGTCCTTGTAGTCCCTGTCACGGTCTCTTCCGTCCCTGGAATCCCCGCCCCGATGGTCCTTGTCGAAGTTGCGGGAGGAGATGATTCTGCCGCTGCCGATCCTGCGGCCCCCGATGACGCGCACGCCGTCGCTGTCCTTCTCCAGGGGGCTGCCCGCCCGCCGCGAGCTCACTGACGCACTCACGTGGCAGCCCCCCCCGAAGCTTCGCCTCTGGGGACTCAGCACCACATCCAAGTCATCTTCTTTCACTCGCTCCCTCGGGTCTGTGGGTCAAAGAGCGCACAAAAAGCAGTGAACTTCAAGTGCTAGTAAAGACAAGTGAGCTGTCTGTTCCACAGCCTTGCTGCTGTGCCAGGGCTTTTTGAAGGACAACACTTGTGGTTTATTTTTGTGAAGCTAATCTAGCTGAGACCACAGAAAGTGCAGACAAAGAATTTACAGCTGGATATTGAGGAATCGCTGTGTTCTCCTCAAAAGTACCTGCTTTCCCACTATAGATTTATTTAAGTGCTCAGCCTTGAATTGTAGGGAATTAATGCCCTGCACTTGGCATTAGTTCCAGTAACCAAGACTTCCTTGACACCTATCCTATGCAGTCAATCAATTTTCAGACATTTTATTTAGCCTTCTTTGTGTTATCCCAAAGGAAAGGTTTTGCCAACAGCCCAGGTTCAGTTTGTGTCTCTGCTGTAAGGACACTCACCTACTATCCTACGCATAAGAGAAGTCCGATCTGAATCCAAATCTTTTTTAAAGCTTTCCACTGGTGAAGTTCTTCCTGAAGTTGGATATAAAGATGCATGCCACTTCTCTGGATCCCAGACACCATCACTGTGGAGACAGAATTGCAGGACTGTTTGCTACCCTGGAGTCCAATACACAATTCCTGGTGCTGCTGCTGCAAACCCAGAATTCACTGCTCACAACCTGTACAGGTGAAACATCTTTCACACCCAACTTCTAAGTCTTTGCCTTACTGTGGTTTCCAACCTCCCACATGGTATTTGGATCCCTCCTGTAACAGTAAGGAAGTATAATACCCACCATCAGGTTAGAAAGGCTACTTATTGGTGAAGTTTGCCTGCTACACTGAGAAACAGCTTAAAAAGCTCATATGCTGCTGCTCTTGAACATTCAGGTAATTTTACTTCACTCTCACACTTACTGGTACAATAAATTAATCTGAAAGTACAGAAACTGCTGCTTAGCAAACCTAAAAACACAAGCCAAGAACACTCATCTTCATTTTTAAATGAAGTAATGATGGGAGAGTAATCCACCAAGGCAAGGCAGCTTGTTCCAACCTGACCCAGCCTGTGCTACACAGCCATCTATACTGGAGGTGGCTTCTCCTGCAGGTCTGTCAGACTTGTGTTGTGTGAAGTTATAACACAAGATCCAGCACAAAATAAACTCTGTTCAAAGCACAAAACCCCTGGCCAGAGCACTGAATCTTTCCTAGTGGATCAGTACTTCTGAAAAGTGTCATGCACTGAACTCTGTAGCACCTACATCTCCCATCAATATAAAACCACTTCTTAGCTAAGAGTTCTTTGCAATGTAACCTTTTCTTTGAAAGAAACGTCTATACCCTTTGTACAATCAAGAAAATACCTGTCATATTTTTCAGAAAGACAAGAAGGTCTTTTCTTAGAGTAGGGACGCTCTTTAATATCAAGCAGTTCCTCCTAGGAAAAGAAATAAATCAAGACGTTAGTTTCAGCTCTCACCCAGACAAGATTTAAGTGACTCAAACTGTCTGTTCGATGCAGTGTTGCAACTGGACAACCCCAGTTTCACAATATGTTGGTTCATGTTCTGTGAGTTACTGCAGTGAAAGTTTCTGTTTCAGTTCTCTTTCAGTGGCCACTGACCAAACACTCCTTTGGAGCGCTGATCCTTACTAGGTCAGGTTCTTGGGAACACTCCCAGGCTGTTCACACCATATATGTTTATATATTCACTTGCCTGGACAGCTCAGTTTATAAACAAGACAGGCATCGTGGACACTGGAGCTGCTGAGTTCTCAAGGAGGAATCAGAACTGCTGTGTTTAATGTTCAGCAGGTAAAAAAGCATTACCACAAGACCAGTTAACTGGAAATTCCAGACAAACTCACTATTTCTGACCATCACCAATTCTGAGACACCAGAATTATTTTATACAGTTACCCATTCCACCCAACACCAAATCAAGGCTGAAGGATGACTTGTTTTCCCACTTTGTACCAGCTTTCAAACAGCCTTTGGTTTACCATGGCACACCCTGAGTCAGTCATTTGACTGGCAATCAATCCAGAGTTTGCTACATTTGAAAAGCATTATTATTGATGTGATCATCGGTGCTTTAAATCATCATTAACTCGGCTGCAATCAAGATGCACATTTTTAATTAGACTTTACTCCTTCTCCCTAGATTAACTTCCCTCAATCTGCCTCCCTCCCAACTGTACTGAACTGATTCACAACTGTGCAGAAATCAGTGGGCAGCTGGAAGGATAAAGAAATCCCAACAGCAGACACCACACATCAGCCAAACTGAAGGAAATCTCTTACCTTTTCACCCCCAAGAATACAACATCCTCTAGAGCTTTTACATCATTATCCCCGTGTGATTAAAATCAGTTCATTAACTATGTGGGCTTGATACTTGAAAGTTTCCAGATGGCAGTTTGGTAGCTGGATAAAACCTACACACACACACACACACAAGCATCATCCTGTACCAGCCTTCAGCAAAAAGAGCTCCATTAAAGGGAGGAACACTGCCCTCCCTGCCCACAAGCTTCCCAAAATAAACCTCAATCAGTGAGTAACATCAGTGCTGTAATACTATCACAGCCCGGTGCAGACACTACAAGTATTAACAGCCCTGTCCATCAGCACATCGGGAATGGGCTGCTCCTCCGGCCACGAGAGGGAGTCCACAGCCTCTCAATCACATCCTATCACAATCCTTCATTCAAGTGAAGAAAATTTGAATTGTTTCTTGGCTTTTGCTCATTAGCTGTGCACCCTTGGAGCAACAGCTTCCCATGAGCTAGAAAAGACACTGCTTGGACTACACAGCACTCCTGGAACAGGAGATGAATGTTGGCACTTCCAGAGTGTGCTGTTGGTGGTTTTCTGTTTAATTCACACACTAGGACGTTTAAGTAGGTGGGTGAAAAGCGTATTTAGCTGTCACTAAACAGTTTAAATCAAACAGCTTAGAACTACTCATAGTATGAGCCAATTGTTTTCCTACTGGTAGTAAGTGAATATAAACCACTAAAGGAAATCAGTCCCCTTTCCAGATCAGCAGCACACATCCTAAAACAGTGCTCCCTCAATCCCTAACTAGTAGGATACTGAAACATCTGAAAGTGCCTTACAATATTGATTAACGAGCACCTTAAACCAGCTATGTTTAACCTGTTACATGTAAAAACCCCATAATATGAGGAAAGATATTTCAACACAGACTGATTTCTGGTATTTCTTGATTCAGGCTCCTTGGAAACCAACAGATAAACAAGACTAGACACCTTCTGGCACTAGTTCTGCAACTTTATCCTGATCAGAAACTGTAGGTACTGAATTAACAAAACTGATGCTAAAAATACACTGGTTTCAGTGCACAGCCACCACCAGCACTGGCTGAAAGCTGCCCAAAAAGCAGGATTTGAAGCTGCATTCAGTTAGTACTCTTGAGAGGAGCTGGGCAGGACAGAGCAAGCATAGATACCACTTCTTCAGCAGGGAAAGTTTAGAAGCAGCTCCTCTCCTTCACTTAAACCAAATAGCAAGCCCTGAACAAAAGTATACTCTACACCCTCCAAGGTTAAGTGCCCATCTTCCCTAAGAAGTTAAAGAATTAGAAAGCCATGCTATTCCCATGAAGTTTTGCCAGTTCTGAAGTACGTGGTTTATTGTTGATGTCTAGTTAAAATAAGCCAGAGCTCCACTATCTCAACAGAACAGGGCCACAACGATAATTTTTTTTTTTCTTTCAAAAAACAACCTACCAGGAAACCAACAGCTCTGAATTCCTCAAGGAAGATAACAGTCAGCAACAGTAAACTGTCTCACCCTGTTCCACACTTCAGGCCATTTGCTGTAAAGTATCTTAACAGATTTCCACAAAGCAGTGACCACCTGTTCCCACAGCTTGGAGCCACAGGAAAAACAGCCCCTATCCCAGACTCTTTCTAAAGGCAGTTTTCATCAGTGGTACCAGAACCCCAAACAAGATTTGAGCCCTAAACACAGTACATCAAATTTACTCAGTGCTAAAATAATCTTTAATTCCAAGTTATTTAGTCATTGTTCTTCCACTCACACATATATTTAGGTATCACAGTTAAACAAAAGCACCTGTGTTTAAGTTTTAACACTAAGCATTGGTTGGAGCCATAACTGCTTAAGCTTCCAGCAGCCAAATATGAGCAATCCTAAGGTTACAGAAGGCATCCAGTAAACATGTTAGAGCTCCTGATAAGATCTTGTGCGCTACACCTTCCTAGGAAGTGGCACCTACTGCAAAGAAACATTTTGGTCAACCTCTTAAAGGAACTCTGCTGAAAGCAGAACTAGAACTGTGAAGCTCAAGTGCTCGAGAGAGCTGGCAGAACAACATACTTCAGTCTCTACCATAATCTCAGCACATGCTGTGGGGTGCTCAGATATTAAAATGAGGTGGTGGGAATCAAGAAGTATCTCGAGGACAGGACTACACAGCTACATCACATTTAACAAGCTGCTCGTTTTACCCCATCTCGCAAATCCTAATCCAGGCGAAGGCTTCTCAGCTCTCACCTCACTGCTTCCCTCTTACAGAACCTCCACCTCCCACTCTACTTGTGTGGCCGAGAGTTCCACACACAACTCAGGGAGGAAAGGGGAGCTGACCTTAGTGTAACGATGCGGGTATTTGGTTGGGATTCTGTTCAGCTCCAGGAAAGCATCGCCATTTTCCGTTTCTGTTACACCTCCTCTTTTATCCATGGTTACTTCAAAGCCTTTGACCGCGGAGCTAATTAAAACAAAACCAAGCCGTCAGATTTCGAGCCGTGCGGTTCTGGAGCGAGGGGTCTTCCCTCCAGCCTGAGCCAGTTCGGCACTCGGGCACCGCGGGGAAGCGCCGGGTTCCCCAACAGCGCCCGTTCCCAGCCGGTGCCGCCACCCCGAGCCCAGCGGCTCCGGCTGGAGGGTCCGAGCCGCTCCCGGAGCCCAGCCCGGCAGCTCCCACACCGCGAACCCCGCTCCGGGGGCACGGCCGGGGCGCGGGGCCGCCGGGCTCGCCTGCCCACCCCACCTCCCGGGCCCCGCCGGGCTCGGGCTCCGCTCGCCCCGCGGCGCGGGGGCAGCGCGGCCCAGGCGCCGTCCCGAGGCACGGGGGCCGCGCGGGAGTTGGGCGGCGGCAGCGGCGGGGCAGGTGACTCAGCGGATCCCGCCCGCCCGCCCGCCCGCCAGCCCGCACTCACCGGCGGGCGTCCCGCGCCGCTCCGCTCCGCTCCAGGCCTCGCTGCCGCCCGCGGCGCTTCCTGCTCCTGCTCCGGCCGCCGGCCCCGCTCCGCCGCCCGTGCCCCGCTGAGGGGCCGCGCGCCGCGGGCCGGCCCCGCCGCCCCCGCACAGCCCCGGCCCCCGCGTACCCCGCGCGCCGCTCCCGCTCCGCCCGGCGCCGCCTCCGCTCAGCCGCCGTAGCCGGGGCCTCGCGCCGCCCGCCCCGCACCCATTTAACGCCCCGCGCGCAGGCGCGGCGCGCGCGCGCGGCCCGGGGGCTCCCCCGCCCGGCGCCTGAGCGGGGAGCGGGCGGGCAGCGAGTCGGTAGCACCGCGGCCCCCTCAGGGAGCCCCCGCCACGGGCCCACCGCGGTACCGGCGGCTCACCTCGAGAGCGGCGCGGCGGGTGAGGAGCGGCACGGGGCGCGGCGAGGGCCCGCAGGCAGTCTGGGCGGGCAGCCCTGCGGGGCGGGTGGCCGGCGGGGCGCGGGGAGAGCCGTGTGGAGAGCGGCGGCATCGGACGGTCCCGATCCCGGCCCGGTCCCTGTCCCCGATCCCCTTCCGGGCCCCGTCCCCGATCCCATCCCGGGCCCCGTCCCCGATCCTGGCCCGATCCCGTCCCCGATCCGGGCCCGGTCCCGTCCCCCTCAGGAGCGCGGGAAGCGGCGGGGCGCGCGCGGCCCCTCACGGCGCTGTCGGGCGGGCGGTGACAGCGCTTTCCGTGCGGGCTCGGGGGGCTCCCCGGCACTGCTCTGCCGTCCCGCCGTGCCCGCCGGGTGACAGGGCCGGTCAGCCCGAGCCCGCACCCTGCCCAGCCCGCCCCGGTGCCCCGCGCCACAGCGGTGTGAGCGCAGCGTCCCGGCTCTCCCAGCCGGTGCTCCCAACCAGCCGTTACCCGTCCCTGCCGGGTGCGGGTCCGCCATTCACGGGGGACAGCGGGACGGAGTCTGGTGCAGTGAGCGGGGCAGCTGATTCGGAGACACCGGACAAAGCCTTTAGTGGTTGGCAGTGAGGACCAGACCTTGTTCTCGACATGACTTTAGGGAATTTACTGAGCTAGATCTCCGGCTCCGTATGTCCGCGGCTCTGCCCGCAGCATCCCCACCCCTGCGGCCACAGAGCCCAGGGGGGGATCCAGAGCTTCCGAACACCTTGGGCACAGAGGTCTGTGTAGGAGAAAGCAATTTCATGTAGGATCTGGTGAATAAAGTGTTTTCGTCCCAGATCTTTAATGAAAATGAAAGTTAAATAGCATCATTAAAAGCTGTAAAGACCGAGACAGAAATAAACAAGAAATAAATATTTCTCACTTTTTTTCTTCCATGACAAAGTGCTGCATTTTAAATGAGACAGCACTGCAACGATTGCCTAGTCTCCCCGGGCCAGCTTGCTTTTCAAACGAACACACAGCGAGACTCGATAGCAACCAGCGGGCCGCCAGCCTGTGGCTGAGTGGTTGTTATGAGATGCTGTGGGCTTTGAGAGGCCCTGAGCCGTGTGGTGTTCACACTTCACGTTGCCGTTACGAGCTGAATCGCTGCTCAGTTGGCTCCCAAGGGCACACCTGGCGCGGGTGCTGGACGCTGGACGCTCCCAGCAGGAAAGCCCCGTGGCACAGAAATGTCGGGACGCTGTTTTTAACTCACGAGTGCCCGCGGCAGCTTCCCCAGCCCGGGCTCGCTCCGTCCCGGCGCTCGGTAAATCCCGGGCGCTCCACCCGCCGCCAGGGGGTGCCGCGGCGCCTTCGCCCGGCTGAGGGCGGGGAGCGCCCGCCCCTCACGGCGGGGCCTCCTCGGGCTCCTCCCGCTCCTCCCGCTCCGGTGCCTCTTGGAGGGCTCGGTTGGGGCGGTCGCAGGTTCGGTTGCTGCTCTGCGGCTCCGTGTGCCCGTCCCGCCTCCGCTGGTCCCGCGGTCCGTAGCGCCCTCAGCGGGGCGGGAGCCGCGGCCTCGGCCCCTCACGGCGGGGCTGCGGAGCAGCGTTGTGTGGGTGTCCAGTGTTTGGCACAAAAATTCAGGGTGTGATTATCTGCTGAAAGGAATTTCGTGGAGAAAAAACGCAGAGAAATTTTGTGGGGTTTTTGTGGTGGTTTTTTTTTTTTGATTTTGGTTGGTTGGTTGTTTTGTTTGTTGTATGTTTTTGTTTGTTTGGCGGGATTAGCTTTTGTTTGTTTTGGTTTGGGTTCTGTTTGGCTTTCTTTCTGTCACACCTTAAGCCAGGCTTATAGAAATACCCCCTTGAGATCTCACAAGGAGATGCCTGTTTATAAGCCCAGGTGCTTTCCCAGCCTCTGAATCCCCCCGAAGGCCTTTGGAAGGCACAGGGTTCTGTGCACACAGAATTTGTTGCTGGAATTCATTGTTTTCTTCATTTCTGTGTACTTGTGAAGGAAAGAAGCTTAGTATTAAAAAAAGAAAAATTGGAAAGGAGTCCATTTGGTTCGCTCCTGATTGTGTCACCCTTGGTTATTAAATTGTTTTTAATTAGGGGAACATGACTTGGAGTCATCCTCTTATAGCGCTTTTCTAGCGCAGCTTTGTTTAGGTAAGTGCAGTTGTTGCCTTAGGATTCAAATGGTTGTAACTTCCTTACCATTAGATTTTGTCAGCACAGCTCAGGGCAGCGAGGCTGGGAGACACACACTTTGTTGAACATCTGCAGTTGCGTTGTGCTGTTTGTGTGCTGGTCACCCGAGTGGAATTCATGTCTTTAAGATGTTGCATTTAGCACAGATCCATTTGATAGATCCATCACAAATAACAGGCACCAATTTATGCTTTGTCCTAAGCTGAGACACAGCATAGCAGAACAGAGAGGGAATTTGTGCACTGCAGGCTTGGAACTACAGCTAAATGGAGAAAGTCAGGAGCAGGTAAGCAGTAAGAAGAAGCTACCCTGTTAAAAGACTTCAGCTGTAATTTATTTTTATTTTTAAATTATGGTATCTTAGGCTTTCCATAGGACAGAAGACAGTTAAGGTATTCTCACAGGAAGCCTTAGTGGTCTCTGTGGAATGCTTGCCTAAAAGCAAAATGAAGTGAACAACAAGCACCCCACTCCCAAACCCATCATGGAACACAACTTTGTGGGGGTTTAAATTATCATAACATTTAAACATAAAAATAATGAGCTTGAGGTATTAGCCTGAAACACATTTGGACATAGTTGTTGGTCCAACCACAGATTAATCCATGGTATCAGCTCTCTTATTCTTCCCATGCTTTCATTTTCTGACTTCACAAGGGAGAAATGATCCATCCCCGATTTTATTTTTCATAGTTGCCATAAATTCTCATGGGTGCAGGCCATCGTCAGTAAATATGTGCAGCACCTGCAGTGTTTCAAATTTAGGAAAATCCTTAGATTTTCACATGCCTTAGACTTTAATACAAAACTTGTGCATGTTTTACCCAAGCTTGATTTGGTTTTTTGGACTCCTTTGTGTGACGTTGCCATCGCATATGGTCAGACCAGGTTTGCCTTTGGAGCAGATTAAATAGTTTTAAAGGCAGTTGGCCCTAACAGGTGAGCAGGAACCCCGTGCTTATTTAGCTGAACCTCTGCAACTTGTGTTGTTCCCATCACTTTGTGAAACCAACATTTTTTTCTGGTTGCAGCCATGTCTTCCCCAGCTCAGTTCAGGTGATTATTGGGGTGACATTTCAGACTACCCTCTTGTGTTGCCTCTTCTGGAGCTCAAGGATGTGTTGGTGGTTCTAATGTGCAAATTCTCAGGGTGGTGGCAGCATTTGTTTCGGGAAGGAAGCTTCAATGCAACTGGTTCAGCAAGTTTTATCTGGTTGGGGTGCTTTTTATCCTTGTTTTCAGAAAATTACCAAGACAAAATACTTAAAATTCACTTGTAATTTTTTCAGATTTTACATGTGAAAGCAAACTGTGATGGAACAATATGTCTAATTTTGTTTTTTAATGATGAATATGTAAAAACAGGAAGAAATTTTTAGTTTTTTTTTTTTAAGGAGAAACATACTTAGTTAAGATATGAGTGAAACTAGGAAAAAGTTTCTTGTGAAAGAACATTTCATGTTAAACTGGAAAATTCTCACTTCAGTTCGCAAGTCCTCAAGAGAATCTCTCAGCAATAGATATGTTTGAGAATAAAAGGCAGAAAACCACATTCAGATCTTCTCTGTAAAGACACCTTGTGTGCACACACATGGGAGGAGAAGCACAAATGCAGTTCAGTACTTTTTCATTTCAACTTTAGAGGAAAAAGAATTGTCTGTGACATGATTGCAGTGAAATGTGTCTTTCTGCTGGTGTTGGGGAAACTTTAACATTAAAACTCCAGATAGTGAAAAACGCCTGATAAAGAGACAATAAGTGTTTTAGCATTTTGTAGCTGTTCTGTGTGGGACTGGATACCTTTGTTATAGATCAGTTTATTGAAATAATGCCATTTCTTTGCCGTTAGTGTGATTTTTACACAGAATATTTCCCCTTTCCTTTCAAGTTCAAAATCCCTGAAGATGCAGGAAATCCAACAACCACCTGGGCATCAAGTCCATCATGCAAGTGGCCAATTTGTTGCTCCCCACTCTGCCAGAGAGGAATTCCAGGACGGAGGCCGTGACAATCCGAGTCAACTTGGGTGTGCCCAGAATCAAAGAAGGTGGTTAAAGAAATTCCAGACCAGGTGATAAGTACAAAATGTATTTTTTCACTGAACAGAGCTAGAAAAGTCTGGTTTTAGTAGTACCAGTGCAGGCTGAGGCAGAAGGTTTTGCTCTTGGCCGTGCCAGACAGTTTTGAAGGTGTCTTGTGGTAACTTGAGGACAAGCACTGGCACAGTCGGATTTCCCATTTATTTTATTTTCTAATGCAACGTTTAAAAAAGGCTGTTTAACAGTATTCTGTGACACACTACCAGGTGTAATGGTTTCCTCTTGCTCTCCTCTAGTGTTTTTTTTACTACTTTTGTTTGTTGAAAGAATCTTGACCAAGGTGGGATGTAATTGTTTTAGAGATTAAAGCCTATTATTTGTTGAGCAACTGGAGCTGCTGAAAGAGGGAATAGCTGTGCTTTAATTAACTCGTGAAGCCTTTGGTGCTTATTGGGGCCCTCCGTGTGCCAATTAACTCTTAAATCCAC